AGATAAATGCATTTATAATTGCAAGTACCTATAAAATGTTTAGCATATTGGAAGCACTTTAAAATCATTGGTGGCATTTACTATTATTTTGAAAGTCAGGTTGATTATTTTTTCCCATCAACTTTTAAAAGTAGAGAAAACGTGAAACAAGATTATAAACGGCCAAATACACTTTAGTCTCACTGGAAGCCAACGTGCACTAGGTGTTGGTAGGTCAAGGGTAAGTGCTCTGTGGTCAAATTCATTTGAGAAACAGGAAGGCAAACAAAATTAAGATTTTTGGCAGACTTCCTTAAAATGATATTGCCCATGGTGAATTTCCATAAGGGGCACACAGAATGTCAAATTTCACAAATCCATTTGATCAAGGCAATCTTTTTTGTATTAAGTGCTGTGTGGTGCTAGAGGTCGCTGTCTTCTAAAATTTTTTTTAATGTTTATTAATTATAGAGAGACACAGAGAGACAGAGCAAGAGCATGGGAGGGGCAGAGAAAGGGGGAGACACAGAATCCGAAGCAGGCTCCACGCTCCGAGCTATCAGCACAGAGCGTGACGCAGGGCTCGAACTCACAAACCACGAGATCATGACCTGAGCCGAAGTCGGGCGCCCAACCGACCGAGCCACCCAGGCGCCCCATGTACTCTTCTAAAAGCAGGATAACTGCTTCATATCAACTGTAATGAGAGCCTACCACCTACTCGGGGAACCAGGATTAGTCACCCCCGGACGTCAGTTTGCAGAAGATCACGTACTAACAGAGATTGAGGAAGAAAATTATGTCACAATTATTTATATCAAACTCAGCAAGACAAGTACAAAGGAGGGAATCCCAACAGATATTATGGACAAGGAGCCCAGAAGGGGAAAGGGATGGAGCAGGGGCGTCCCAGGAACCACATGAATGAATGGAGGGAGACCGAGTCCAGAGGCCCTGGAGAACACAGTAAGGTAAAGGACAGGCGGGCAGGGAGGGTGAGGTCATTTGTGAGGCACTTAGTTCTTTAACAGTTATAAATGCCGTAAATATGTTAAACAAATCCAAACAAAACAGGCTTTGAAAAATGTCGACAATTTATAATAACGTCAATTTGAAGGGACTATGATTGAGGAAAGCATTAAGAATTAAAGTAGATTGGAGACAGTTTCACTTAATGTCCCCTGCCTGTCTCATCGTTCCCTCGGTGAGATGCTAATAAGGATGAGCTCACTGGTTTTAAGAATATGAAGTGAAGAACCTGTCACTCAGTTGTCAATGGAAACTGCCTATGGTTCCCTCAACAAAGCCTTTCTACCTCAACATATGTTCATTAGTCTTCAAGGGGAGCCTAAGAATTTACTGTACTCAGGGTTTTTGTTTTATTTTTTAAATTTTTTTTAACGTTTATTTATTTTTGAGACAGAGAGAGACAGAGCACGAATGGGGGAGGGGCAGAGAGAGAGGGAGACACAGAATCTGAAGCAGGCTCCAGGCTCTGAGCCATCAGCCCAGAGCCCGACGCAGGGCTCAAACTCATGGACCACGAGATCGTGACCTGAGTCGAAGTCGGAAGTTTAACCGACGTAGCCACCCAGGCGCCCCTGTTTTATTTTTTTAAAGAAATATACCAGTCAATGGAGTTGAGCTTTATATATTTATACAGTTTCCTCTGTCTGGCATAATAGTCAAACTTCCTAACAGCTTACAATTTCTAACAGTCCAGTTTGCCATCTCTAAATTGATTTCACCACATCTAAAAGTTGTTGGCACGTGGCTGGGCAGAAGTGGGAAAGAGATACAGCTCCAAGGAGAAAATACTGAGATTTATGAAATTACGTAGATCAATAAAGATGTGGTTGTTTTATTTTGTTTTCTTAATGTTTATTTATTTTGAGAGAGAGAGAGAGAGAAAGGGTGGGGCGGGGAGAGAGAGCGCACACGCAGGGGAGGGGCAGAGAGAGCAGAGTGAGAATTCCAAGCAGGGTCCACGCTGTGAAGATCCTGACTCAGGGCTCAAACTCACAAACTGTGAGATCATGACATGAGGTGAAATCAAGAGTTGGACACTTAACCAACTCAACCACCCAGGTGCCCCAATAAAGATGTTTGTAACTGGAGATTAAAAACATCTGTGGTTGGGGCGCCTGGGTGGCGCAGTCGGTTAAGCGTCCGACTTCAGCCAGGTCATGATCTCGCGGTCCGTGAGTTCGAGCCCCGCGTCAGGCTCTGGGCTGATGGCTCGGAGCCTGGAGCCTGTTTCCGATTCTGTGTCTCCCTCTCTCTCTGCCCCTCCCCCGTTCATGCTCTGTCTCTGTCTGTCCCAAAAATAAATAAATGTTGAAAAAAAAAAATTTAAAAAAAATAAATAAATAAAAACATCTGTGGAGATTCCGTGACATTTCAATAGACCTGGACCCAAGCAATTATCAAACTGAAAAGGATATTTTCAATAATTTTTATTCTGATTGATTAAATCTAGGTTCAAAAATTGTACACTTACAGAAATAAATGGATTGGTATCTTTTGAAAGGCAGTATTACTGAGAATAGTTACTAAAAAAAAAAAGCTCTAGAAAGTAAAACGAAATACTACGGCCTTATATTAAAATACCTCTTTAGCACTTTTAGAATACTGCCACGTGTATAACATTATTTGTTCATTATTACAAGTGTATGAGAAAGTCAGGGCTGACTTAATTTCACATGCCTTAGGAAGACTTCCATATGTGTAAGTGCAAAACTCAAAACATAATTTGCATAGCTAGTTCAAGAAAATATAATGACTTTATTATTTGTAAACATCTAAAAACTAAAACCGCACGCTACTAATGGCCAAGACTAAGTGGTAGTGAGCCGACTTCTCTGAGTTCTAAACTTACCTTTACCTGCCATCCCAACTACTTGAGAATCAATGTCCTCATCTTTAAATTGGGATTAATACACTAGCATTTCTTGCTTAACATTGGTAGTCTACTTATGAAAAATCAGACATTCTATTCAAAGGTCGATGAGAAGTCAATTTCTTATTATTCTGACTAGAAAAAGTTATATTCAAACCCAAATTCCTGGTCCCCCCAAATATAACAGAAACATTTGAGGTAACAGCCATTAAGATGAGATGTAAAATGATAAGCAATTTTCTATTATAGGTAACATTTCTTATATATTTATCAAAAGGAGCACAGGTTTAAAAAGTTTATACATACTACCCTTGTCTTTCAAGAGTAGACTTCAAAACTTTGGATATGGTCATGCTGGTGTTAGAGGACTGTGGGAAAACATCAAAAACACTGATTTAGGGGCACCTGGGTGGTTCAGTCAGTTAGGCATCTGGCTTTGGCTCAGGTCATGATCTCACAGCTTATGGGTTCGAGCCCCATGTCGGTCTCTGTGCTGGTGGCATAGAGCCTGCTTGGGATTCTCTCTCTCCCTCTCCCTCTCACTCTCTCTGCCCCCTTCCCTACCTGTGCTGTCTCTATCTCTCTGAAAATAAATCAGTAAACATTAAAAAATTGATTTAATACAAGACATTCTTCAATAATTCATTTATTTGCTGAAAAAATAAACTTTCCTCAGTTCTGAGGAAGATATAATGAAAGCCAAGGAGACCATATGTCTGGATCTCTATCTCTGCTCCTGAATTTACAGTTCTGGTACATTCAGAATAGTCTAGAATAATAGCCTGGTAGCCTAGAATAATCTTGTTATGTCTGTAATAGCAAATTGGTGTTTTAGCATCAACTCAACCTTCCTGTTAGTCTCATTTCATCATATACACCAGGGTATCTTTTCAATCAAGTTCTACTGTGGTTTTACCAGTAGACCCACACGATGTTGTGTATTTCTGATCACTGTTTGATACCATATTGTGTTATTCCGGGACTTGCAAGGATTAACAGAGAAGATAAAACCAGAACTTGAATCTAGAGTCCTATTCCTGACTACAACTAGAGTCATTTTCACCACACGGTCTGAAACATGGTCTTCTGTTTATAGCAACACTTTCTGGAATGCCAAAATACTCATTTGTAGCACAAAGGAAGACATTCATAGACTTAGAGGCTACCCATGCCCTTGCTAATTTTCTATTACCAAATTGATTTGGTTCTTCAATGTTCTATCTTGGCTCAATCCTAGGGCCTATTAGGGGCTTTTATGTAACTTAATAATTGATCAGTTTGTTTGGTCATTCTTGGTCTGGCCCAACTACTGCCACCTCAGAGTTGAGGGTAGGAGTGAGTGACAAGATAGAAATGTGAACACACTGACTGTTACCACTTTGACGGTGACACTGGCATTCATTCCCATGGATACTAAATACCTTGTGCAACCAACTTGCCCAACAGGCCAAAGATACAGTGTGTTGAAAACCAGTAGTATTAGCTGAGTCCCAGTTTTTGTTTTTGTTTTTTTAATTTTTTTTTCAACGTTTATTTATTTTTGGGACAGAGAGAGACAGAGCATGAACGGGCGAGGGGCAGAGAGAGAGGGAGACAGAATCGGAAACAGGCTCCAGGCTCTGAGCCATCAGCCCAGAGCCCGACGCGGGGCTCGAACTCACGGACCGTGAGATCGTGACCTGGTTGAAGTCGGACGCTTAACCGACTGCGCCACCCAGGCGCCCCAAGAGTCCCAGTTTTTTATAGAAAACATGGATATTGACCCAAGAGGTGCCTCTGACTAGCTCTACCATTTTCTTTTGAGTCATTTAAACTTTATGGGCCTGTTTTTTCATCAGGAAACTGAGCTACCTAACATTGCTTAATTTTTTATTGTGTTTAAATTTTTTTAATGTTTATTTATTTTTGAGAGAGAACGAGCGTGTGAGTAGGAGAGGGGCAGAGAGAGAGACAGAGACAGAGACAGAGACATAGACAGGGAGACAGAATTTGAAGCAGGCTCCAGGCTCTGAGCTGTCAGCACAGAACTTGATGCGGGGCTCGAACACATGAACCGCGAGATCATGACCTGAGCCGAAGTCAGATGCTTAAGCGACTGAGCCTAATAATTTAGGCACCCCTAATTATTGTGCAATTTTATCATTATATTTACCATATATTTACTTCTATCCTACACACCTACATATCTGCAAAAACCTTGTTATTCTTTGGATTTTTAAGGCATTTAAAATACAGCAACCAGTTCTTTAATCTCCTGATACGAAGGAGGCATCCTTAAAAATCCCCCTTCCTATATCTAGTGAAGACACCATAGACTATACGTCAATCAAAGCGTCTAGGGAGTTACAGGAGATAACAGCTTCTTCAAAAGTTCTCAAGAAACTGAAATAAATGTGGGCATGACTGACTGGATAATTAAGAAGGTTGAAATAGGTGATTCTAGCCTTCAGTCAAGGCACACTGACTGAGTCAGAAAGTAACAAATAAACATAAAAATATCAAGGGGAAAATCTGCAAGAGACATTCCTCATTCTGAGCTAATATTCATGAACCATGCAAGGAAGAACTGAGCCAACACAGAGAAACACAAAGATTTTATAGCTCTATTTGAAAAGGAAAGTTTTATGGAATAAATTAAGATAGGCCTACCCTATGCATTCCTATGGGCCATATGGAATTAAGTGATGGACCAGAGCTTGCCTCCAACTTGTCTAAATCCCAAAGGAATAAATAATTAAGGGCTATGAACACAAAGACTAGTGTTTTGGTCGTTAAATGTAACTTTGCTTGAAGCAGGTTATGCATGTAAAGAATCAAACAGCGAATTCTAAAAGGCTAAGTCTTCTTCTTCCTTCTTATATATAAAGACCAAGAATGTATTATGACATCACGAAAACAACTTTGCCACTGCCTACCACTCGGGCTTTGCCAGAACAAAGTCAGTAAGATGGCGCGGTAATCAGCCTCCAAGATGGCTACCAAGGATTCCTGCCATCTGGTGTTGGCAACCTTGTGGAATCTGATCCCACATTGTACCAGAGGTGGTCTGTGTGACTAACGGCACCTGGCAGAAGAGATGGTAAGATGGTGAATCACTGCTCAAGTTCGGTCATAAAAAAGATAGCTACTTCTGTCCTGGGCTGGCTGTCTTGTTTGTCCTTCCCTTCTCCTTGCCATGGTGCGAGCAGCCCAGCGGCAAAGAACTGACGCCTCCAATCAAGAACCAGTGACAAATAATAGCCCATGAGACCAGTCCACAACCACATGAGTAATCTTAAAGGAGAAGTCTATAGCCCCAGTGGAGCTGAAAGGGCGGGCCTACGCCAGCCGACTCCATCTTGTTCTGTGTCCTTCACCTTGACCACACCTCCTCCCCTTGAGTAACCCCCCCTCACCTGCCTAACAGGACTCGGACCCTTCCCCAGGACCCTTCCCCAGCCAATCGGCTGAGGCCACAGCCATTACCTCACCAACTGCCCCTAGGCCCCAATAAAACCTTTGTCCTTTTGAAACTCGCTCTCTTTCCCTGGTATCTCACCGCTGTGTCGGTGCAGGTAGGGGATTGAGCTC